TTCTGCACCGACCCTCTGAAGAGCATCCCACCCAGCCCCACCACTGTAAGACTGTTACATTGGCTAGCTCACCTAGAACATAGAACATAGAACATAGAACATTACAGCGCAGTACAGGCCCTTCGGCCCTCGATGTTGCACCGACCTGTGAAACCAATCTGAAGCCCATCTAACCTACACTATTCCATTATCATCCATATCCTAACCTGCATACCCCTGGACATGACAGGGCAATTTTTAGCATGGCCAATCCACCTAACCTGCACGTCTTTGGACTGTGGGAGGAAACCAGAGCACCCGGAGGAAACCCACGCAGACATGGGGAGAATGTACAATCCACACAGACAGTCGCCCAAGGCTGGAATCAAACCCAAGTCCCTGGTGCTGTGAGGCAGCTAACCACTCAGTGCTAACTAACTGTGCCAGCCAATAACCAGGATGATGCCACATGACCAAACGGTCATGAACACTCCAGCCACAGCACACTAGACAGAAGGTGTGCGCATAAGTTGCTCTGTAACTCCAAATGTTGAGGTTAAAGCTGTTTGAGATTTTCAAGTAAGTCGAACCTATGTTACTTACCAATCCAGTAAGCGAACGTTAAGGAACACAACCCAAGAATACAACATGTATCTACACAATCAAATCCATATAACATTGTAAAATCACCAATCAGATTGCTTCTAATCCCTTAAATTTTAGAAGGGCAATCTTTATGCAAACTGTCCTCATAATTTATCCTTGCAAATAGTTGTCAGGCCCAGGTTAGATATTTCACAAACCATATACAGGATGAATCTCCTTTTTTTTTCCCCCCAGTGAACTGCCTCAAGCCCAATTCTGGAGCAGCATTTTTTTAAAAAAACTAAGTACACCTGTCATTGGCGCCCAGCACAAAGTGTTCAAGCTTTTTTTCCATTTATGACAGCATTCTTTTCAGGCAGGCAAGGTCAATTTAAGTATCTTAACTGAAGTTATTTTGTATCCAACACCCTTTCATCAGCCTGGTCCAGATTCAAATCTACACTTCAGAAGAAGGTAGATAGAACACTATTTCACACTATTGCAATTCCACTGAAAGGCATGCAGCATAGTTTTTATGGCATTATTCGTTAACGTTTTACCTCATTCGGATGGAAAGGCTGGTTTAAAAGATATTATGCAGTGATTAAACTACACCTGTTTAATACATTTTAATTTCTCTCACCATCAAATGCAATTAAGTCCAGAGTTAAAGAACAGCATCCAGGGAATTTAAGATGTTCCCTGTCAAATGGCTCTCACTGCTATTAATTCAAGTTCACTTGCACTGATGCACGTAATGAGCAATTTTTAATCTGAAGTTGATACAGGCACTGGCAGAGAGCTCAGTGAAAGAGAGAGCACGGTGGCAATCAGCCCTGTCCCGCTGCCAGTGAGATGTCTTAAAGAAACAGATTTATCGACAATAAGCTTCAGACTTCAATCAGTAAGTTGCTTTAATGTTGATAGTCTTCGAGAAGCTGCCGATCTATCAGTGGCCTTTTGTTTAAAAGCCCCGTGATGCTGGTCTGCCTTCACTGCAGTATGGATTGGCTGACAGCTACGATCCATTACTATCAGAGTTCTGCAGAGCCTTCAGTGCAGCCGTGTGTTGCAGTTATCCAAATTGTAATCGATTTTTGTCTCAAATGTCATGTTCTTAAATGTTACAGTTACATTCACATGGCAATCCCGTTGGTTTTCAGATTTCATGTTATTTTCCCAGTGCAAACGCAAAGATTACCAGTACAAATTTTCAGAATTGTGGTTGAGACACATATTGTGTTATTGTGTGTGGGGTGTTGGTTGTTTTTGTGAAATCTGATACCAAAAGCTCCAGGAATTGCTGATGCTGTAGAATCCTCAGCTTCTCCCCAGGCCCATGCCCCAAGCCATTGTTCGTCGGTTTTATTGTTTTCTCTCCCTCATGGTAACACCTCTTAGTGGCATTCGATTTGGTACCTCATCCAAATGGCAATGCTTTTCCTTTAAGAATCTGGGCCAGTTGCTCCACTGCGAAGGAAAACACAGCTAACAACAGTGATAGAGATAATATGAATTGCCGATGCTGGAGTCTGAGATAACAAGGTATGGAGCTGGATGAATACAGCAGGCCAGGCAGCATCAGAGGAGCAGGAAAGCTGACATTTCGGTTCGGGACCCATTTTCTGAAGAAGCGTCCAGACCAGAAACGTCAGCTTTCCTGCTTCTCTAATGCTGCCTGGCCTGCTGTGTTCATCCAACTCTACATCTTGTTATATTATACCAACAGTGATAGAACTGCAGATGCTGGACTTACTATCTCACAGCTAACAACAGTCCTGTGCTCACCCCAGTGTCTGTACAAGGCAGCAATCAGTGAACATTGACCAGAGGTAAGAATTCCCACTGCTTTTTCTTCATGGGACATTTGTCAACATCAGAGCCGTCGAGGGAGCGTAGAAGAAATCCATTATAAAAAGGAATGAACCGTGACCATGTGGACAACTGTTTTGAAGCTGACACAAACCTCGTTAGTTAGTAGAATCTTGCTTCCAAATTTCCTCGATGGACGTTCTGGAGTTTTTTTTCTCTTTGTTTGGTACATTGCTGGGAAACAGAGCAGCGGCAGACCCCAGTGGTGTGACAGGCACAGAGAGAGGAACCTGCCAGAAGAGACAATCAGTCACGCCATAGAATGAGCAGGTAACCATCCGAGTACTGGACCAGACCGCCATGAGGAAAAAAAAACCTCAACATTCAATGGCAACTCAGAGGGGTTTCCTGGAGTCATCCTGACTCTGCAAATCTTTTCAAATGGTTGCGCAGACCCAGGTGTGGAAGTTGTGTCCCTGTTTCGAACAAATCCAGTTTTGCTGGCAGGGAGAGTGGTGGAGGATGAGTGATTCATGGAGGAGGTACATTGAAACATTCTGAGGGCCTTAGCACTCAGAGTAAATGTCATCAACAGATGGAGTTGTCTGCCCTACAAGAGTGCTTACAGCAAGGTCCGTTTAAGTAAGATGGACTGAAGTTGTTTTCTATCCCATACACCTTAGTATTAAATGGTCCAGATTTTCTATTGGCCTGACACTCGTTATTCCAGTGTAGTTGGAAGTTGCATGTGGAGAGCCTGTGAAATTTCCGTTGGAATTCCGAAGGAATTGTACAGGAAATTGAAGATTCCTCTGGCCAATTCTCCTATGCCACCTGTAACTTTCCGAAAGTCTTCATTAAGAGTGGAGAATTCTGAGGCTTCTGCTACATAACCAAACACCTCAGTAACAATTCAATTGGCCCAATATTTACAATGCACAGCCCAAAAACATCTCCCCCAGACCATGACCTGACACCTTTCAGCACCTTACTACCTACCCACCCAATCCTCCCTCCCCCACCGTTGGGTACACTTCGCCTTACCCCACCATGCACCTGACCGCACCCTCTCCTAATCTGTACCCAGCCCCCTTCTCCTGCCATTGGATAGCCTTTCCCCAATTCCCTGCCACTAAACACATGCGCCAGCCTTCTAATGCTCCGCACCTGACCACCTACCCATTCCCAGAGATGGCCCCCCTGGATACCACACCCAACCTCTGGACCACCAATTGATTTATTCCACTTGCCTGGTCAACCCTACACACTGTGTCACTTACTTACCACCCTGGCTGCCTTTGCATCCTAGCAGGCTACCCATGTGGCCCTGTAACCCCTTTCCCACTTGTCATCCTAGCCAGTTTACACCCTATCCTCTGGTGCCCTGCACCTTACCCATCTAGCACCCAATCCTCCCCCTTTGGCACACGACCTGCTATCCAGCTGGCACTCTTCTGGGCTAGCACCCTACCCCTACCCAGCTGACATGCTACCTCTGTTACCCCATCACTACCTAGCTAGCACCGTACTTACCTGGCACCCTAGCCCCCTACCCATCTGGCGGCCTACCCTTCCAGCAGCCTGGCTGTCGTGACCTTTTCGGAATACGGCAACAGTCTGCTGTGAAAACAGGGGCGTGGTTTGCTTTTCCCTGAAAGCCCTGCTTTATGAAAGAACGATCAGAATGGAAGTGTGGAACACTGGGTGGAATCTTGTTTCAGAAACATGAAGTGCCCTATTTTCACTTAAAACAAAAGGGCGGAGTTGCAATCTGCATGACAGTGTCACTGCTCCGAATATCCGGCCCAATGAAACAGTCATGTGTTGTCAAGTGGAGTTTATAAAGCACCCTCTGCTGGGTTGCTTTGGTTAACAGGCCATGTTGTGTCAGTCAGAGAGGAAGAATAAAGTTCCATCTGTTCATGCAGTTGCAACACAGTTCTTTATTGACATTTCCAAAGGCTGTTATTATTTCATTGTGAATGCGTCAGTGAGTTTCAAAAGCTACATTTATCCCAGCATGGGGTTCTGAAGTGTTTGTTTTTATAAGAGGTTAACCACTTGAAACTCAAAAGCTTTGAGCGTGTTTAATGAATGGGAGATTTTCGCTATAAAGCTTACGTAAGTAAAAATTGCAAAAGTTAGAAGTTTGCTTTTGTTTCCACATGGCTGTGGAGGTCTGCCCGAAATAGATTCTGGATGAGTGGATTTGGAGGTGGCATAGGAGCATTTGAGGGGGCCCCGGAGGGGGGAGGTCTGATGGAACATGGGATGACTGTGGGTACGGGGGTATGAGTTAGTATGGAGCAGCCATAGAGGTGGGTGGGAGATATGAGGTCATGGGAGTTGAGGCCTATAAAACCTGAGAGAATACTGAGATAGCCCTTCTAAACAGTCCCGTATCTGCACTCGCCCACCTCCGCGGATGCCTACATTCTGCTTCTGGCACATCTGACGGTTCCCCACCCTAGCTTCTCCCGAGTGAAAAGTATGTCAGACCTCGAAATCAGGGTGGGTCGACCGAGTTTGGAAATTTCCAGCACCCGTGCTGACCACCTCAGTCATGACAATCCAGCCTATACTTGTAAAACGTTGTCTCATCATTGCTTCTCCTTTCTCCACAGTGTTATTTCTGCAAGACGGTACTACTTTGAGGTGCTCCACAAGCAGGATGATAAGGGGTCAGACCATGTAGAAGTTGGGGTAAGTGGCAATAACTTGGTAACTCTCTTGAGTAGGAGCTCATTGGCAGGCTAATTAGTGACAAGCCAATGCCAAATTAATTCATTGCATCTGTTTAGATTGGTGTTCTCTCAGTTAATTGTTGGATTGCTAAGGTTGTCTTAAAAATCAATGTTGGAAATGAATGACTAACGTTCTGATGAGCAGGACCTTTAGAAAGGGTTAAAATTGAGAGCAACAAGACTTGTCAGTAATTTATGCCTGTTTTAACATGGTCCCATCTTTCTGTGTGGTTTGACTGTCACACTTCATACATTAACTACTTTACATTGTGCGAACTGCCAGTTAATTATCGTAGATCAGTAACTGAGGTGGCTCAGTGCATTGCCATGGTAACCAAGTGCTAGGATACAGGCTGATATTTTATGTCAATGCTGAGCAGAGAAATGGCTCCAAGTGTGGAATTTGCAGATCTCTGTGCATCCTCGAGGTTGGAAAAATATGATTGGTGGGAGGAAAAAGCAGGAGCCTGTTGGTATGTCCTATCCAAGGTGTCAACCATTGCCACAACCAACATTACGATCATTGTAACTCTGTCACATGATAACAAGCGTTATCTTTAAGAGTCAAGAAGCAATTGCAGTTGAGAATTCTAGTCTCTTTTTACAGGCTATTGGTTTCTAAATGAATTGTAAATAAACTGATTTGTGGGTACTTATTCCAATTTAATAAACTTGAGAGCCTTCTTTTGGCAAGGTTCTATTTTCCATGACAAATGTCAAACCCATAAAGGGACACATTTACTGGTTGGAGCAAGTGATATCCTCTTCTATGACTGGAAGAGTAAAAAATAATCTGGACCCACATCCTTGGAAGCCTGTTTAATGAGACCTGCCCTCTCATACATATCACAACACATCTACAGATGGCCAAACTGAGGAGGAACTTCAGAGAATGCCCCTCTTCCTCGAGTTGGGTCAAGGGGCAACGGCGAATTTCAATAGCACTAAAAGAAACATCAACAAACGACTGCAGTTGCTGGAAACATGGAACAAAAAATAGAGGATGTTCGGCAGCATCTGTGGAGAGTGAAACAGAGTTAATAGTTCAAGCAGATCATTCACCCTAAGTGGGGAGAGGTAGAGATATAACAGGGGTGGGTATGGGGATAAAAGAAGAGGGTCTGCAACAGCGTAGAAGGCAGGAGAGATTAAATTGTAATGCGGTGATGGTGCGAGACAAAATGACACTGTAATGGGGCAAATAAAGTGGCACAGATGGAAATGTGAATGGGGAATAGCAGAAGCAGTGCCAGCAAAATTGGAGGCAGATGTTATAGCCTGACTTGTCAATCTCAACTCCGAGCTTGTCAGGCAGTAAAATGTCTGAATTGAAAGATAAGGGACTGTTACTCAAACTTACATTGAGTTTCATTGGAAAACACTGAGAAACTGACAAAATGGCCATCAGTGTTGGATTAGGATGGAGAGTTAAAATGACAGGTGATTGGAAACTTGGCGTCACACTTGCGGAATAAAGGGAGATGGTCTGCAAAGCAATCACACAATCTGTGTTGTTTCCCCATTATGGGAGAGACCATATTGTGAGGAGCAAAAGTTTTTATGTAGAAACCAATAGCCTGTAAAATGAGACTTGAATTCCTAACGATCAGCTTAAAGGAATGGATTGCGCAAGATTTGAAACATAAAGCATTTTTCTGTAACAAACAAACTAAAGCAACTAAACATCACCCAAAAGTCAGCTATCAGCTTAAACTATGGAAAATATAACCCTGATCACTGTTCTAATGTGACTAATACACCCATGCTACTTACATATGCATGACAGCATGCTGTTCCTGTGTTTATAGGGTCACAGAGTCATACAGCATGGAAACAGCCCTTTCAGTCTAACCAATACATGGCTGACCATAATCCCAAACTAAACTAGTCCCACCTTGGCCCATATCCCTCCAAACGTTTCTTATTCATGTAGTTATCTAAATATCTTTTAAGCTGTACTCACATCCAGCACTTCCTCTGGATGTTCATTCCACACACGAACCACACTCTTGTGTTAAAAAAAAATGCCTCTCCTGTTATTTTTAAATCTTTCTCCACTCACCTTAAAAATATGCCCCCTTGCCAACCTGAGGGGAAAGACACTTGCTATTCACCTTATCTATACCCCTCATTATTTTATAAATCTCTATAAATGTCTATAAGGTCACCTCTCAATCTCCTATGCTCCAGTGGAAAAAAAATCCCAGCTTATTCAGCCTCTCCTTATAACTCAAACTCTCCATTCCTGGCAACATTCTGGTAAATCTCTTCTGAACTCTCTCCAGCTTAGTAATATCCTTCCTATAACAGGGAGATCAGTACTGGACACAGTACTCCAGAAGAGGCCTCACCAACATTGAACATGACGTCCAAACTCTTACACTGGAAGGTCTGAGCAATGAGGGCAAGCGTGCTAAACAATTTCAGGTATTCAGGTAAAAGTTTAGGTATTTCAGACATAAATGACTTGTGCCTAAATTTCCTCCATCTTTTCTGCTAGCACTACACAAAGCTCAGTCAGTACACTCTGCTGTTTGTTGATATAGCTCCATACTCCATGCAACTTCCACACATTCCCTTAATTTACACTTTCTTCAACTGGCTGTAGATTTTACGCCTAAAGTTGTAGGATGCAGTATGACCCAGGGTCATACATCTGATGCGTTATCACTGTTTCCAGTTTATACTTCTGACCGAGATCTAAACTGTACTTTCTGTACCGTTTATAATGGAAACAATGTAAACTAAATTTGGTAAACAAGCTACTTATACCCTCCTGTCCATGGTGATACATGAGCACACTGCCACACTATGGTATCTATAAAATATTGAGGATCTAGTGCTGAAAAATTCCTACTGTCCAAACAAACCTTCGTCTCAAGTTGTTACACTTGTTTGTTTTGAAATAAATCTATATATTATATAAAGTACATATATAATATTTGATGGTAAAATTATTGTGGAATTACTTGTGTTCTTAGAAAAATTATTCACCCCCAAACACATTTTATCTGAACGCTACAGTTGATTTTGTAGACTTATTTGTAATGCCATAGAGAATTAGTTTGTGCACACGTGTGTTTCTACATGTAACATACTCAACATATCCTGAATGAGATTCTGCAAGCAGCACAGGAGGATTTTCCCCAACAAAAGAATGAACTGCTTGTAAAAGAGCAAGTATCAATCCTGTGATTCTTAGAGAAGTTTAAATCATGGTGACAAACTTTAGATCGGGTCTTGAGTATTGCTGAAAAGCAAAAACAAATGTAAGAATGGCAAATTTAAGATGATCACAAAATTCAAGTTGTAGGAATAACAAAGATTGGTTGCCATGTTCACTCTTAATTGACAATGTTTTCATGGAGAAAGTCATTTGTACCGAAGAACAATAAACCAGCATTTAAACAAGTGGAGAACAATACAGCGTTATGGTTATGTGAGACTTCCTTCACATATTTGGACATTAAAATCCTGCAGCCGTGAAAGAGAATGGAAATCCAGAGTTCTTGGTCTTTGAACCATCCTGTTTAGAGTTTATGTTAAAAGATAAATATTGATGATAAAATAGTGTCTGATTTTGAAGAGGAGCAAAAGAATTTACTGAATCCAAACAATAAGAAACTCAATCCCAAAAAATTTCTGAGACAGTAAGAACTGCTGATGGTGGAGTAAGAGATAACACCGTGTGGAGCTGGAGGGTCACAGCAGGCCTGGCAGCATCAGAGGAGCAGGAAAGTTGGCATTTCAGGTCAGGGACCCTTCTTCGGAAATGTGGGAGGGCGAAGGGAGCTCGGAAATAAATAGAGAGAGGAGGGGTGGGGCTGGGGAAGGTAGGTGGGATGGTGATAGGTGAGTGCAGGGAACCCTGCCACCAGCTTTACACCCAACCCCACCTTAAGCCCTGCCGGTCTTCACCATCCCCCAGACTTCCCCCTCACTGAGGGCAAATGGTCAGTCCTCAGTAAAAGACTCACCTTCACCCCCTCCGCCCACACCTCAATGAATTCCATTCACACTTGGACATCAAACACTTTTTCCACCGCCACCACTACATGCCTATTTCTTTAACCATGAGTCTAACCCCCCTTCTACAGACCCCTTCTCTCCCCCTCCAACACACCCCATCCTCCTGGACACTTCCTACCCTCCCTGGACCCCTTCATTTCCAACTGCCATCGCGACATCGATCACCTCAACCTCTCCACCCCTCTCACCCAATCCAACCTCCCCCCCATAGAACGTGCAGCCTTCCGCTCCCTCCACTCCAAACCTCACCTCACCATCAAACCTGCAGATAAGTTGGGGGGGGGGGGAGTCGCGAGCACAGGAGTGGTATAGCACACTGACCTTTACATAGCTGAGGCTAGGTGCCAACTCTCTGACACCACCTCCTACCGCCCCCTTGATCATGACCTCACCCCTGACCACCAAAACATCATCTCGCAAACCATTCACAACCTCATCACCTCATGTGACCTCCAGCCCACAGCCTCCAACCTCATCCTTCCCCAACCTCGCACCACCTGTTTCTATCTCCTTCCCAAAATCCACAAACCTGATTGCCCTGGCCAACCTATTGTCACTGCCTGCTCCTGCCCCACTGAACTTATCTCCACTTACCTTGACTATGTTCTTTCCCCTCCGGTCCAGGAACTCCCCACCTACGTCCAGGACACCACCCACGCCCTCCACCTCCTCCAAGACTTCCATGTCCCTGGTCCCCAACACCTCATCTTCACCATGGACATCCAATCCCCATACACTTATATCCTCCACGTAGATGGCTGAAAAGCCCTCCGCTTCTTCCTCTCCTGCAGACCCAACCAGTCCCCCTCCACCGACATCCTCATCTGCTTAACCGAACTCGTCCTTACCCTTAACAACTTCTCCTTCAACTCCTCCCACTTCTTACAGACTAAGGGGGTGGCTGTGGGAATCCACATGGGCCCAAGCTAT